GGAGGGGGTGCTTTAGGTATTTAGTGTGCCGATCAAATTGAATCTTCTCCCTTCAAGAAAACATTTCGCAGGTCGAAAGTAAAACGGGCGGGGTAGTGGTCTAATTTTATAACGTCGTATAGAGGGTGGTTCTCCCGCCCGAGGGTGAAATCACTTGCATACACTTACTCGGGCACCCTGGCTGTGCTTGTTAAGAAAAGGCTGGGACGATACTTGTACTGGCTTGGCTTGTACTACCTTCAGCTTATAATAGCGCGTGTACGCACAGCGGAAAAAACAAAGGTAGGACTTAGCGCCTATTCAGGTGCTAAACTTTAATGCCTTTAGAAAGGCACGAAAGTCTCCAAAGGCACTAAACTTTAGCTCCTTTGGGGCATTTTCGTGCTCTTCCAGGGGTATGAATCTTTTCGTGCCTCTGTAAAGGCACGAAAGTCATTCACACCTCGCAAGATGGGTGCTAATTGCTACCTTTGTTTTTCCAATGTAGTAATAATGACGTTCTAACGCTACAGAAGAAGACAAAAGTATTGGAAATCTCGAATTGTGAAAAATCCGCACCCTTAGTTCCTTACTAACAGCAGTGTTGGTTTTACGAAGAATCGGGTTTGTGTTTGTGCGGTACAAAGGATACGGAGCAGCCATCTTACATATGTTTTTCTTTCATATTGCGATCAGCCCCGGATCGTTACACGAAGAGCCTGGTTTGTATTGCAAACAATGTATTTGTATTACCTACACACTGTTAAAAATATTAGTGATTTTACCGATAATTCCTGAAATCTTGTACAGAAATAAAATGTAATTTTACCGAACACGTTAGTTTTACCGAAATACTATGGTAAAATTACAGTACCAGTAAAATTACAGATTTTCGGTATTTTTCACGAAAAACTACTGTAAATTTACACGCGTCTGTAAAAATCCACTCGTACTCTGGTATTATTACAGGTATTGGTAAAGTTACAGACTCTGTAAAGTAGTCTTTCAGATACTTTCTGTAATTTTTCGAACACATAAGAAATACGGTTAAAATTGGCCACAAAATTTGCTCAATGTTGAACTCTGGTGCATTCTAACAACGGAACCACGAAAGAAACCCAATGTTGTGATAATCACTAACCAAGAGGGCAGTTAACCGTATGGAAAGCCGCGTGGACAGTCGGAAGCAACAGATGGAGTACGGACGGGCAACCTCCACGTAGCGCGCCGTAGCGCAATGGGCAAGGCATCGGGCTCACGACCAAGAGGTCGGGGGTTCGATCCCACCTAAGGTACAAGCGGTAAAAGAAGTTTCACCAATGAAACCCGAAGGCGGTTGACTATGAAATATATAGAACAAGAAACCAGCCGCCGAAAATATTTTTTTTTCTTGCATTATTACGTCAGAGGAATGTGGGTAAAAATTACAGAAAACGTTCGTAAACATAACTACAGAAACGTTTGGTATCAGTTTTACAGAAATTTTGTGGAGTTAGTTTTACCAGTGTCTGTAATTTTACAGACCCCTGTAATTTTACCAGACTTTTACATGGCAACTGGTATACCCAGACTTTTTCTGTAAAATCTCAACAAAAAATTTTAACAGTGCAGTTTGTTCATGTTACGAATGCTTCAATCTCTTTGTACATTACGGAGAGCAGTTGTTCGTACGAAACGTTACAGTGCGGGTGGATTCGTGCTCGCTGGTGTGGTTTAGGTTAGTCTCTCGGTTAGTAGCTATCCGCCGGAACTTCCCTATACGCTTCTTGTTTATTATTTGCGAGCGCGGGACGGGAGGGTCAGCGCGTTGGCGGTGCACACAGCCCCCCGGGGCCACCGCGGGCACGTCCGCGACGGCGGCGGGCAGCAGGTCGGCCTCCCTCCCCCCTCCCTCCACCCTCCCCTCCCGGCCCGGCGGCGGCGGTGGCGGTAGCGCTCCCGGCTCGCACGCAGCTCGCCCCAACGAGCGCCACAGCACAGCGCAGCGTAGCAGCGCGTCGCGTCGCGTAGTCAGTCGCTCCTCAGCCAGCGGACCGGACGGAACACAGGCCTCGGAGCGCAAACTCTCTCCCTCCCCGCGGACATCTCTCGGCTCGAGTCGACTCGTCGTCGCGTCGGCCCGCCGCCGGCGTCGCCCCCCTTCCCCCCCTCGCGTCGGCCGTGTCCGCCGTGTCGGCCGAGTGTGTCCGTCGCGTGCGTCGCCGTGCTGGTGCTGCCGTCGCCGTGCCGCCGCCGCGAGTGGACGCCGATGCACGTCGCCAAGGATTACCATCCGTGTCCCGGACGTAGACGGCTCCGCCGCCGTCTCAGGGTGAGTAGTGCATTATATCGTGTCTTGTGTGCGTTTTTAGCCCACCCTCCTGTTTTGTTCACTTGGCATTTCGCATTTCAATCTCATACTTTTAATAAACAACAACAATAACAACAACGTTTACGAAAACGTCGTCCCACCTCAGGTTAAATTGGTTCAATCATACTTTGGTGCAGACCTCAAGTGGGTGAATTCCCATTCGCACAATAATTGTGCAAGGAAAGGTATCGGAACATTCCTTGGAATTTCGCATACAGTTGTACGTCCAAGTGAGTGCGAATGGAAATTTACTCGCCTACATACAAAAGTGTGCTACGTTCACGCGCACACTTGGGTTTGCTGTGTTGGGTATTACGTAAGAATAAACCGGAGCCCTAAAAAAGGACAAAGCACATCCACACCGGAATCCCAAGTGTGTGAATGTCGCACAGTAGCCCATTCCAGCGAGTCGAGAAGAACACAAAGAATCAAAAAGTGCCGCAAACAGAACTCATAAACATATTGCAAATCACATTTAGACACTTTTGTTTTTAGCATCTGTTTCCGGTTAATTTTGATTCCTTTTGTTCTTCTTCCCGGCTCACTAGAGTGGTCTAACGACATTCGTACACACGGAGAGGCACAAGGTGTGTGGGGGGAAGTTGAGTGTGTCAAAGGAAAATTCACACCGCCTTTACCCCCTTCAGTGTACGAATTAGCGTTCACACCGGACATTCACACACTTTCGTCTCCAATGCACCGGGTCAGTTTTCCCGAGTTTTCCTCCCGTGTCCTGAGGGCGACAGCCCAATCACGAAGTTCATGAGGGAGACAGGGAGACAGTTATACCAGTGTGCGTTTCCTCTGTGGCTTTCGGTTGCATCTTCAACAACGGAATACGCAACATACTGTGCCGTGGTGCAGGGCAGGGCATCGGGCAACAACACAACACTTCACGGCAACGCCCTTTTCAATTTTCTTTCTCTATATTATTATTATTTACATATTTGAGCTCTCCCGCGCTTACAAACGAGGCAGCCATACACGGCGGGGGCGTGTTCCACTCGGATTCGGGCGGCGGCGGCAAAGAATACGGCATGAATAACGCAGGCAGCTTTCGGACCTTGCGGACAATAAATCCCATAAATCCGAGGGGCGTATCCAACCACCGCACGGCCGCCCGGGGGGCGCCCCGCCCTCGGGGCGCCCCGCCCTCGGGGCAGGTGTCCGATCCGCGCGCGCGGGGGC